TCTGGCCTCAAGTGTCCAGTGGTACTTTTAAATACTGTGAATGGGTTAGGCCTATGCATGGCAAAAGGGAATTTGTTTCATATTCTAAGCTTAGAGCCCAGCGAATATTTATATCCAAACATTTCGTACTGATAAATGTTTGAACCAGGAAGGATGGTCTGGCAGGACGTGTAGAAGGCTTTGGAAACAAGAAGTACAAACACACTTAAATGACCTAGGGATAAATGGGAAGATAATGTTAAAATGGGCCTTGGAGAAGGGAGGATCCAACACAGTGATGAACCTTTAGGTTCTGTGGAAATAAGCCATTTCTTTATTAGATACTTTGTATATGTAACGTGAGAATGAATTTTCCTGCAGTAAATGAACATGTCCAGTGAAGTGATGCGTACGGTAAGCCTGCGCTTTGCTACAGTTATTTTGTGTAAGCTTGGAAGTAATTTTTGTTCTCTGATTGTTGCAGACACCTCTTCACCTGGAAAAGGTCACACCCCCTGACAGCCGACCGGTATCCTGTTGAGTGAAGTTGTCTCTTCATTATCCATATCATCATTAACCACTGTCATTGTCATTAGTAACATTTATTGTTTCCATAAGACGGTGTGAACATTTTTGTCAGACATAGAACTGACTGCAGACTTTTTGTTCCTGATAAAATGACGATATCAAGAAGCTAAATTACTTGATATTATTCATAAATAAAGCACGGGATCGAATTTGTGTGTGTTGGATAAAGTGTTTCTAAGTTGTCTTTAATATTATAATTACTACATTTATATTGCATCATGTACCACAGTTTCGTTGGAAATTCAGTTTTTATATTAATGTAGGCCTTCCAGTAGTTCAGTGTCTGAAAAACGCTGATGTGTGATTCAAGACAAACCAGTTTGTCAGTTAATGCTGTTTATAATTATCAGCCATCCAAAAGGGCCAATCTCAGAAGCAATGGTGCAATTTTGTAGCATTTAAGTCAAATTTCTTTTATTCTAGGGTTATATATTTCAATGATAACCAGGCCATGTACTGTGTCCTGGCCAGTACAAGATACCGGTCCTGAATATGTCATGACCGGTTTAGTTTGTTAACTTCATGTAGATGGATCTTTGTACTGCAACTTAACCTTGCAAGCAGAACAAAGTATTGTTATAGTCATACTTCACTTGTTTGAATAGGAAATATTACTCTCATTTGTTAATTGTCATGTCTGCCTTCTAAATCTTTTTTTGGGGGAAGAGGGAATTCATTTAAGAGTTCAAATAAATTACGCGATTTTGGGTTTGAGAAACAAGTAGACATAATTTTAAATTTGTTTTTCCATTGAAATGTTTGAGAGGAAGATGATGTTCAGTCATATTATGAAAGAAGAAATTAGAAATTGACAGGACAATTTTAAAACTTCGCATTTCACAGTTATGACTCCTTAAAAGTGAGAGTTCTGGTTTTGTATCGTTCGCGACTGTAATCTTGAGACTTGCGGGGTGCGGAAGTGGGGTGAAGGAGGAAAGATGGCGTCTGATATGCAATAGCCTTTAACGCTTCGGACTTCCTGCAAGATTACGGTCGCGAACAGTACTAGATGTGCTATATTTTGGTGACACATGGTAAACAATGAACAAGCACGTTCTGAAAAGAAAACAAAAACAAATGACCATCGGTTAAAGTTTGGTGTTTGAATTTATTTAAGATGTGTCTCAAACTGCAGAATTGAAACTATACATACAGATGGCAGTGGTGAATCCTGGTCTACAAGAGGCTAGACATACAATTTTCAACAGAGCAAATTCGTAAAATCAAGTAGTTGACACTTGAAATTCAACAAAGAGATTACCAAATAAAATTGGTTTTGGGTTTTCCTGATTAACTTACACTGAAACAAATATGATCAAATGTTTTTATAGAAGAACAAACTAATTCTTTTGAATTCTTTCAATTATACGTACGAGTGTTTTGATTTTTTAATATACGCACACAATTTAAGGTACCTGTTTTTATGAGTTGCAATTGTTACATGTTAATATCACTTAATATTTTTTTTTAAAAAATTGCTAATCACGTTTTTATTTCAACGGGTTCAAATTTTCAGCATTTTCTGACCACATCACGAATGTATGTGAAATGTAAGGGAATATGTATAATTAATGTAAGAATGTAAATTGTGTTCTGAGGGATGTGAATTGCATGCAGTAACAAATACTTCATACATTCGATACCACAATATCTATATCTATATATATAAGCACTTAGATAGGATGTCATAGCAGGTCATGGTTTATTATTGATTTGTAATCCATCCCCGCTACCGTTGTTAAAGTATTAAAACGTGTTTTTTTTGTTGTCTGTGATGTTAGTTTTTTCGTTCTTGTACAAATGTATAAACGTCCTTTATTAAATGTATATTATCTTAATTACACAAAATATTAGTGGTATTTGTACATTTTTAATTATGAAAGCAATTTGTCACCACACTAATTCTGTTCACAATTTTTAAATGTAATAATGATAATATTATTAAGTGAACTGTGTGGCAAAACCTGTGTAAAAACGTTAACTTCTGTCAAATTAAAGATGAAAATCTTCAAAATACAGGACATACAAATGACAAAATACCTTTATTTTTCTAACCCTATAGTAATACAGCATTCCTCATTCCTTCTGATTCCTGTCACAGTTCTATGATCTTGTATTTGCTTCTGATAACTATTAATGACTCTGTAGTACTGAGTAACATGAGCCGGGATAGCTCAGTCAGTATAGTGACTAGCTACGGGCTGGACGACCGGGGTTCGATCCCCGACGGGGGCAGAGGATTTTTCCTCTAGCCTCTGCGTCCAGACTGGCTCTGGGGCCCACCCAGCCTCCTCTACAATGGGTACCGGGGTTCTTTCCCGGGGGTAAAGCCGGCCGGGGCGTGATGCTGACCACTCACCCCCATCTAGCGCCGAGGTCAAGGAAGAGAGGAGCTATACCTCCACTCACCTCAAACGCCTACATGGCGTATAGTGGGACAAACTTTACTTAGTACTGAGTAATATTTTGTGTTCCTTCTGACATCTTTAACAATGAGGAATGGTCTAGGTGTTTAGTTTGGAGGGAAGAGTAGTTCTTCTTCGTTTCTTTCATCAGAAGCAAAGAACGCTTCTGTTGATTCGCGGCTCGCAAGTTAACTTTAAATAAACCTCAAGTTAAATTAGGTTTCGTTATACCTTTCCAAACAAATCCAGCGCTCCTGCCCTTTAAAGTAAGGTAGAATTAGAGTTATTATCCATGCCTTCCGAAAAACCCTGTATTTTTCCATAAAAATTGGAAATTTACTGACTTATTTACACTTGCTTGATAAAAACTTTCATGGTGTCTTCGGTGAGAATGGTGGAATGAAATACCGCAGAATAGTTTTAAAAGGTAATAATACTCGCAAATAAAGTGTGCTATGAGAAAGGCATACACCGGCAATTGCAGTATAGGCAAAGATACAAAAGTAAAGTTTTGCGGAGGAGGTGAGAGGTATAGCATCACACGTTCTTGATCTCAGCACTAGACATAAGTGTACCGAGTGGACCAGAGGTGAACAATTAATTCTGCACGGTTGCAGAATGTGGCGATTCGAAATGACAGCGGCCCACACAGTCCCGAGGAAATTTCTGCGGTAAAAATTATTAGGCAGGTCCATCCATAAATTATTCGCAATGAGCGTGCAAGAGAGGTAAAGGCATTATAAGGACACGATATTCTGAACTCTTAATTGTAAATGTACCTGTAACGGGCCGGCTCAGTTTTCTCATACTCGGAAAGTACAGTAGATGAAATGCTTTTAGCTTAGGAACTTGCTATTTTAGATTACCATCCTTTCTGTGCAAGTCAAACATTTTTAAAGAGCCGTGCTATTATTAGAAATAAACTACTAATCTCATCATAGCAGGACTTTTTTTAAATCAAATTCTGCCCACAGTTACCATGGGATATAAACCATGGGGATCTGCCATGCAGACATCCGTAACTCAGTTTGCCATCAATCAGGCCAGAATCATTGACCTTACCGCGGTTGGCAAGACCAAAGGCCAATGGGAAACCTCAGTCACTGTTTGTACTAGGCAAGGCCTAACTAAATGAGTCTAAATATCAACCAAACAATATGACCCCACAGAACTACAGCCACATTAGTCATAATATAAACTCGTCAGAAAAAGACGCGATAGTGGTGTTCTGGAAGCCATAAAACTGGTTTCGGATGGTGTTACAGCTCTACACGAGGCAAATGAAGCAAAGTTGCCCATTTTTTCTGTTTAGGTCTACACAAATTAAAAACCGCGAACAGATGAAAACAAAACAGGCTACCACTGGCAAGCTGGAAACAAACAGAAAACTCGTACATACTTAAAATCCGTGGTTGACGAAGGATTTCTGTATTTAAATTTAACATCTACAAACTGTTTTGTATGAGTGTTAAATTTCGTCTCTTATCGCAAGTGAGGGGCAAGACTGGGGTTATTAAAGAAGACTGCTAAGCATAAGCACGATATTTGAACCAAAGAAAGATTAGCAAAGTGGAAACATGCCTGATTCACGGGCTATTTAACAACAATTTTGTCTGAAGGTACAATGCAGTGAGGAATGAGATGGGAATGTGTTTCAAACGGTGAATAGGAAAGAATTTGGAAGGATGTGGTCGATACCTATTTCAGAGAACTACAGTGTTGGTCAGATGTAACTGAGAAAACATCTCTCTTTAGCAATTTGTGCTTCACCAGTACACAACCGGTAACAGCCGCGTAGCCCGGACACCTGACAGTGTTATATCGCGTTCTAAAGCCTTCTATTTTATGCCCAAGGACAGGCGAGCCAACTAAACAAACATAAAGGAACATACAAAATAAAACGCTGTAAGATATCGCAACCCATACACACAGGTGCAAAGGACAAAGCTGCTCATTCTTCAGAGAAATCTGTCATTATTTAAATGGCTACTGCGCGTCAGAATTATTATTTTCTGACATAATGGTGATGGATTCAATTTACTTTTTCGTACAATCACTCCTATCTAGATGGCAGTGATTAAAAAAACCTTCTGCAACAAGGCCGTATTAGGATCGAAACCTGCAGACTTTGTTTCTACTGAGGGAAGTAGAACACTGCTAACATGACTGAAGAGTCTTCATATCAGTAGTTATTAAACTGTGGTTCGTGAGCGACAGAGCTGGACCGGATGGGTCAATTTCATAAAGGCCGTAGGGTAGGCAGCTTCGTGAAGATGTGGCTCTTTACTAACCGAGTCTTATCCCAACACTATTCTGAATTAAGCCACGAAAGTATGAACAAAACTGACCAATTTCCTGTCTCAGGTGCGTCTCCAAAATGAAGCAGTTTTATTTATTAGTGGAGTACCCAAGATTTTGTTTCGAACGACGTTTTTTTAAACATTAGCCAGCAGAAACTGTTTTATTATGGCGAAGGGGCAGACTTTCTTCCTCTCCAAGACTGCACCGGCTTTGGAACCCAACCAGTGTCCTACCTAATGGACACAAACGGCTCTTTTCGTGTAAATAAAGCGACCGGAACTTGAAAATGGTTACTCCGTCTATTGCTATGGATGGAGTTTACCTCTAATATCCCTATACGACGCCTTTACGGCCTACTGCTTTATCATATGGATGTCTTCTACATTTTATTTAGTATTTCTCACATCATACCTACCACCTGTTCCAGCGTTCAACAGCACGGCATTTCACTCACACAGGTTTTGTATCTGGGTTTTTTGTTTGATTTTAAAACCGCATATCCGTTACAAGGATCAGTCGGTTGAGGAAAATCCCTGCTTATTATATATGCACACACATATTCCAAGTAAATATTAAACGAAATAGGCTTAAAAGTGGAAATCGTTATGAATCTACGCAATGTCGTAACAGTAAGCTTAATAACCTATGAGTAATTAGCTTCCTAGCAATAGATTTATGTCTTTAGTAACTGTAGAAGGCCAATGACTTGTGCAAAATTGCAAGGATCCCACTTGTAACCTACTCCAAATTAGAGCGGACTTTTCCACTACAGTTAAACAATAGCTAGATGTGTTCCTACATTTTCTGATAACTGGAATGGTCGGTCATGGCATCTTGCAACGGAGGGAAGTGTAAGCTGCAATTCATAATTAGGATTAAATTCGCCGTTTATACCTATCCATGCTGGTTTAACTGAAACATTAATCTGTTACTGTACTTCCACGGGAATATAATTTCTACTCTTGAAAAGCCAGGAATAGCTTTATTTAAATGATCGAGAGAGGACGGGGCACTGTATTCACAAATCTGAAACCCCAAAGAAATCCAGACTGGAATGACCAATACTTTTAAACGAGATATCTTGTGCGTAGCATGGAAAGGCATTACGTAGCAAAGTCTGTTAGCAGAGAAACACCAAGGCGGAAAGTGCTATTTTGTGTAGCAAGCTGATAAGTTCCTACTTTGCCTGCCATGTCCTGTCGTGTCGCGCGGTTATCACGGGAAGGACAAAACTCAGAAGCCACATGCACGCGACTCACTAGAAGAATTCAGACACCACCCTCTAGTTGTTTCCGATTTAATTGATGTAAAAATAAATGTTAATGGGATTCAACTTACACTCCTCATCCCTCACCACCCCGCTTACAAGTCACCTGCTGTTAAAATTCGAGTGGTGGATCCCAGCAACGTCATGTGATTATAGTAAAATAAAATGAACAGTAAATAGTCGGCAGTAAATACTCTTGGAGAAATGACTTGTCTAAATTACACAATGAAACAAATTCCCCCCCCCTCCACAAAATTTAAATTATACCGAAATATTTATTTTTATTCCTAGTAATAAAGTCGGTTTCGTACTACAGTTTCCAGGGTTTAATTCAAAATCAGTTCATATGGGGCTGAAACGAAAATAATTTTCTCCAACATTAATATTTCTCCCTTCCAAGCATTATTCCACTTATGCTCCATCTTCATCTATTTTCGCATGTTATTACAACCTCAGTATGCAACTGAGATTTAACATCTTACCCGGCACTTGGTTGGACTCAAGAAGTCGGAAGGTTAACAGCAAAAGGTGAGACCCTGGATTCAAAGTGGTTAGTGTTGTTTCCGCCTCACAAATGTGCAGGGACACCGTGTTCCTATTGTTGATAAAACAAATTAAAGGCACTAGCACGGCGTGCCCTCTAGTGGACACGATGTTTATAGCGAGTTTCACGAAATCCATAAATTAGAGTTTCAGACGAATTCGAAAATGGTTCTGGTCAATTGTCTTTTACAGATCACACTGTTGTAGTTGACGGACATTTTCGACTCTAGTTTATGACGTCAGAGCTGTGAGGCCATTCTATGAAAAAGGCGAGACTGGATTAAAATAAGTGACTACCATTACACGCAATGCAAACGATAATTACCGAAGAGGATAGCATAGCGGTAGCGATCTCTTGACTTGTATTTTGGAGGTTCCTGTTTCAAAATATGTAACAGGCTTTTCTGACCGAGATTTGCCGTGATTTTCCTCTGGTGAATGGTAAAGTAGTACCTTATAGACATCCATAATCGCCTTCTTTCAAACCGTCACTGTTCGCTATTTATATCGTTTTAT